GGGACGCCTGCGTCGTCATGGAAACGCAGGACCCCGCGCCTTAGCAACCGCGGCGTGGGCTGCCCTCGGCGGTGCCTGCGGACGACGCTCCAGCAGGCCCCAGCCGGCATCGCTCGCTGGGCGTCACCGCCTGCGTTCCGACAAACGCTTCCTGGGGGTGCAGTCGCCGTCTACCAGCGGGTCTCGGGCCCGGCCAGTGCCCAGGGGAGACCCTGCGCCCCGGCGCCCCGAGTGTCCGTCTCACTGGTGCCCGGGCCCTCGGTGTATCTGGAGATGAGTCGCATCGTTGCGCCTTGTGTCTCCAGATTTAAGCCCCTGGTCCCGTGTGTGCAGGTGAGCATCGGTGAGAAACAGGGCGGAGTTCAGAACAGCAGGCTCTCCGGACGTGGGGAGTCCCTCTCCCACAGTGCCGGCCTGCTCGCCGGTGCGGGACCACCTGCTGGGAGTGGGCACGGAAGACCAGGCTGGAGGAGGGCTCTGGAGAAGAGGCCATTTAGGACCTAGGGGCACACCGTTTGCAGGGCCAGTAAGACATCTGTGAGGCCGGCGCTGTGGGGTAGCGGGTAAAGCCGCCGTCTGCAGTGCCGGCATCCCATATGGGCGCCAGTTCGAGTCCCGGCTGCTCCTCTTCCGATCCAGCTCTCTGCTGTGGCCTGGGAAAGCAGTGGAGGATGGCCCAAGTGCTTGGACCCCTGCACCTGCGTGGGAGACCTGGAAGAAGCTCCTGGCTCTTGGCTTCGGATCTGCTCAGCTCCGGCCGTTGCGGTCATCTGGGGAGTGAGCCTGCGGATGGAAGACCCCTCTCTCTCTCTCTGTCTCTACCTCTCTCTGTAACTCTGTCTTTGATATAAATAAAATAAATCTTCAAAAAATTACATCTGTGGCTGGCACCGCGGCTCACTGGACTAATACTCCACCTAGCGGCGCAGGCACACCGGGTTCTAGTCCCGGTCGGGGCGCCGGATTCTGTCCCGGTTGCCCCTCTTCCAGGCCAGCTCTCTGCTGTGGCCAGGGAGTGCAGTGGAGGATGGCCCAAGTACTTGGGCCCTGCACCCCATGGGAGACCAGGAGAAGCACCTGGCTCCTGGCTTCCGGATTGGCACAGCACCGGCCGCCACCGTCCTGTTTTTAGCGCCCCCTCCCGGGGGGGGGGGGGGGGGGTGTTGAACCAACAGAAAAAGGAAGA